TGTGTGTGTGTGTGTGTGTGTGTGTGTGTGTATATATATATATATTAGTCACAGAATGTGTTAAAATGTACTTGCATATGATTAATATAAATTGTATTCATTTGTAGTTTGGTGTACTGTGGAAATATGACCTAATAAATGCCTCTTTTACAAATTATTGTGATAATATTAGCTTCTTTTTTTATTCTGGGTTGATTAGGTCATCTATTAACATTAGTAAAAAAAAAATAATAATAATGCCAAAAGTCTCAGTATGGGAATGTTGAATTGATATTTCGAAGTAAATCCAGTGCTGGATCAATATAAGCCCCAGTTATTAACCCCCTGTGGGATTACCATCAGAGTATTTATTTATTTGTTTGTTTGTTTAAGAAGATGCCATGATGAAGCTGGACCATGACAATGCTGCTTCACGGAGTCTGACGTAGGCAGGCGGAGGAGAAAACACAACCTCCACCACACTGGGAGATCCACGGGGGGAGGTTGTGCAGAAGAGGAGAAACCGTTTAGGTTTTTCTGTTTCTGCAGACTGAGGAGGCACAATGGAGCATCTCCCGCACCGAGTTTAATCGCGGATTAGGAGGAGGAGGAGGGGGGAGCACAACAAGGAAAGCGAGGAGACGCTCTTTATTATTAGGAGAGAAGCTGAGGAGGAGGAGGAGGAGGAGGAGGACACCGTGTCGCTCGGATGTTGTTGTCGACCCGGACGAGGCGACGATGCGGCCCCACTGGGTGATGATGCTGGCGGGGATCATGTCGTTCCTCAGCCCGGAGAGAGCGCTCGGAGCGCCGCAGAGGGAAGGTGAGCGGAGCCGGTGGAGGAGGTGGAGGAGGAGGAGGAGGAGGAGGTGGAAACCTGTCAGTGATGCTGGAGAAAGGATAAAAGGCCTCCTTGCGCTCACTGCGGGCTGAACGCTGACTCTTTCTGCCTGTTATTGTTGTGGCTGCTGATGGAGGAGCAGATTTGCATGATGTTGAGGTTTGAGGCCTTTATGTCGAAGCATTAAAAAAAAGAAGCATGAACTATAAAAACATCAGGCCAGAAAAAAAAAACCCCGAGATATTCACGTGAAGCAGCTGATTTAGTCCATCAGCCGCATCTTTATTCTCTCCATGTGTGTCTCTGGCACAGGCTGTTTGTCATTGTGGTGTTTTGGCACAGAGGATGGTGGAGAAAAGGCCCCCGTTTTGGGTCCATATTTATATGCAGTGTCTGTCTGGACATCTGTCTGGTGGGGGGGTTTGATGAAAGAAAAGCACAGGAATTGTGCATCAAGACCGGATGGACACCCCAGTTATTGTTGGTGCTTTAAGAGGCCACAGTCTGAGAGGAAATACTCTTTGCCCTTCATCTGGAGGAGTGATGAGAAGATTTCATTCAAATCCTCTGTCTGCTCCAAGCTGCTCCTGCAAGAAATGATGCTGGCAGCTTTGAACTTTTCTTGCATGTTCTATAAAGTGTAGAAGTCCTCGGTGCAAGAGGCTGCATTCAGGTTGTTAAATTATTCAATGCACTGTGTTTACACTATTGTGACCTTGTGAAGGAATGTATTGTAGGATTTGTAATGAGGAACACAGTGAAACCAGGATATTTTAAAAACAACACAGCGTTTTACAATGACCCCGTTTGTTACCTTTATACTATTTATTCTTATGTAACAGGCGCTCTGTAGAGACAATGTAGTTGTGCTTCACTTATCTTTAACTGTAGTTTGATATATATATATTTTTTGCATTTGATATACAATCCTAAATCAGAAAAAGTTAAGACATTGTGTAAAATGTAAATTAAAACATGAGCTCATATTTGTCCACGATGAAAAACGGTAAACATATCAAATGTTTAAACTAAAAAAATGAGCATTTTCTTTTTTTACGAGGGGATTGTTGTGGTTGTTTAACGTTTTAGCAGCACATCTACAAAAATGTTGGGACTGTGGCAACAAAAGTAACTAATTAGAATAACTGCGAGCAGGTCAGGGTCTGGGTAATAAAAGATAATTTTAGATAAGCTGAAACTCTTAGAAGCGAAGATGGGCAGAGGTTCACCCATTTGCAAAAAACTGCAGTAACAGAACAATCCCACAATTATGTTTCTTAACAGAAGATTTTCGAACATCCCATCATCTACAGTTCATAAAATCATCTAAGATTTCAAGAATCTGGAGAAATCTCTGAGCTCCAAAGACCAGGCTGAAAGTCAACATTTGATGTTTTTGATTTTTGGGCCTTTTCTGCATTAAAAGCAGCTCTGGTTCGGTTTTGGACATCATGTGGGCGCAGGAACACTTCCACAAATCATGTCTGTAAACTGCTATCGTGCAACGAACAAGCTATAAGTAAATGCTTCTAGAAATGCTGCAGTCTTCTCTGTGGTCAGAAGATTCAAAACAAAAGTTGCTGTTTTTAACCTCAGACATCCATTGTACTAATGAGGAGAGGGACAATTCAGCCTGTTATCAGCACACAGTTCAAAGGTTTGCCTCGCTGGTGGTATGGGGGTGCATTAGTGCCTCTGGCATGAGCAGCTCACACATGTGGAAACTAGGTCTTAGAATAACAAATGCTCCCATACAGACAGTCTTTTACAGGGAAGTTTTTTTTAAAGCAAGACATTGTTAAACAGTTTACTGCGTCTATTTCAACAGCGTGGCTTCATAGAGTCCTGGTGTAGGAGACATTTCCCTCCAAAACCTACAGAAACTGAGGAGCCCAGTTTCTGGACGTTTACAGATTGTTTTTAAAATAGATTAAATGTTTCACCAAAGTCAACGTGACCCTCTCCCAACAGTTAAGAGACATGGTGCTGTCATCAGATTCTAAACGATAAAAAATATCCTATTTAAAAATAATATACAACTTCAATATTTAATGTGGGTGGCACGGTGGCGCAGTTGGTAGAGCTGCCGCCTGTCGGTGAGAAGGTTTTCTGATCGAATCCCGACCAGGAGCCCATTCTGGGTGGAGTTTGCATGTTCTCTTCGTGTTTTCTCCCACAGACCAAAAACATGCATGTTAGGCTGATTGGTAACTCTAAATTGTCCCTAGGTGTGAGTGAGAGAGTGAATGGTTTTCTCATTTGTGTCCCTGTGATGGACTGGAGACCTGTGTCCTCTCGCACAGTGACTGCTGGACATGGGCACCAGTGACCCCCGTGACCCGGAAAGGAAGAAGCGGATAAAGATGGTGGATGGATGTAACATTTAATGTTTACTGTGTTCCACTGAGAATTCAGCATGAGATCTGCAGATCTTAGCGTTCTGTTTTTTCTTACATTTTACACAAAGTCACAACAAGTTGGCCAATCTCAAACTGCTTTAGGGTTTCATCATTGCTTTTGTTTTTTTGTCTTTTTCTGTACATTTCTGGCCACAGAATTGAAATAAAACATGCATCAAAGTATTTAACTACGTTCCCTTGCCCCTTTTTTTTTTTTTTTTTTTTTTTTTACAGATGGTTCACTTCTCACATTCAACTACGTTGAGGTACAATTATCAAATGTCCCGATCCTCTTCCCTTCTTTCACCTGAGTAGTAAACCTTCCCGACTGAGTAATTTACAATCCAGTTTTCAATCCTTTTCCACGCAGCGTTTCCTTTTTGTAACCTAAAAGACAACTCCAGCCCCCCTCCCTTGCTTCTTAACTGTGTGTCCTATAAGTGGAATGCTGTTTCTGATATTTCCTCACCTTTCCCCGTGCTTATTCTTCTTACTGGAATGATAACTTTTCAACTTTAGTTCCAGTCTCTGTTTATTTATGTGGTTTTATCTCAAACTTAGCTTGTATCCCCCCCACCCTCCCAAAATCCCTGATACAAACTTGTCCATTGGGGTCCTCTGCTTTGTCTCAATCCTGCATATGCCCCAATAGTTCCTGTTGGGACAACAACCTGTGTGGCAACATTTTACAGCTATATGATTCAGTGAAGTTTCTCTTTTTCTTTACATTCACCCCGGCTGACCTTGTAGAGGCACCGTCATGTTGTGTTTCTGCTTTAAAGCCCTCCTCTCTGTCGTTTCTGTCGTTTGACTAGTGTCTCAAACCAGGGCTGAATCGCTCTCTCCTCCACCCTACGTCGTCATCCTCATCTCTTGCTCGGGGCTCGTCTCTTTCGTTCTGCTGCTCCTCACCTGCCTTTGCTGCAAGAGAGGAGGGGTGGGCTTCAACGTAAGTCTTCAAGATGCGACTCGCCTCTCTGGTTTTGTTGTTTTGCGTCTTATTTTGTGTATTTCAGTGAGTTTTATTGTGAAAAGTAAGCTGAAACGTTGCCGTTTAGATTCGTGGTAATTGTGTTTTTGCATGACTCATCCAGGAGTTTGACAATGCCGATGGGGAGGAGTGCTCAGAAGGCTCCAGTCCCATCCAAGAAGACAGCCTGTCCTCATGTCCCTCCCTCCCCGAGGTCTACACCTTGCCAGTCAGAGACCACCCCAATTGCTCTGCCCTGCAGGATGGAGCAGGTAACACACAACTCTTATAAAATCCTGCTCCTTTAAAAAGAACACACACAGATGAACAAAGACGCAGCACCGTCCTGCAGGAATCTCTCACGGTCTGCAGCCTGAGTCACTGAAGCAGAGCCGTCAAAGGTCTGAAGACGAGTGCACGGACAGGAGCACCCGACTCCCCGCTTCACTGAAGTGAAGTGGAAAGTGTGATGTGAGAAGCTTCTACATCAGTGCTCTGTGTGAGCAGAGGGCAGAGACGCGTTAGGGAGGAAACCATCTCTGAAGTCGTTCTATTTAAAGATGTGGTTTCATTCATCGTTTCTTGACCTGGAGGTTTGACCTCTGACAAATTTAAAAAAAAAAGTTAGAATTCTAATCAAATCTGCAAAAGGAGTAACAATTATTCTGAGGAAGTTAAAAAAATATTGAAGCAGGCTTAAAGTAAAAATGACTTTTCATTATAGAGTAATTAAATGCCCAGCTCGTTCCTTTTATGTAACACAAAACATTATATATCTGAGTATGCTTCATAAAGTCACAGTCTGTTGGAGCTGATTCAGCTACTACCACCCCAAAGTTTAGCTTAATATCTGTAAAACTGACTGAGTTGTACCCATTTTCTGTGTTCGCTAAGGTTAATTAGTATGGCAGCCATCTTGAATTAGACCAACTCAAAAAGTTAATCAGTTGTACATTTATATCCAGTCGTCATGTTCTAAAAGTTTCATTAAATTCTGTCCGGTGGCTCATGAGATATTTTGCTAACAGACACACAGACATTACATGAGCTGTGAGGCGATAATCAATCCGTTAAAGTGGTTTCAAAGTAAATCACAAATCGATCATAACTGTACACAAGAGGAGGTTTTAGGTTTAAAATCACTAAGAATGAGATTTAAAAAAATAAATAAAATAGCAACAGTATTGTTCAGCAGCTAATTTTGAATTGAACCAAATTAAAACTGTTCTTCATTCTGAGTGTGTTTATTTACAAAGTATCATATTTGCACACTTTGTTTTAGTATTTACAGTGTCTGAGGTCAGGGTTTCATGTTTTGGTGGTACAGATCTGGACCTGTGATTGTTAGTTGTTGCAGCACATATATTAGTTTTATAGCTTTAAAAAAATTGGTTAATCTCACAAGACTCAACTGAAATTATCTATTTTTTTTATCTCCTTCTTTTCAGACTCCAAATCTCAGTGTTTCAAAAGACACACTTTAAATTACCTTCAGGAGATTGGAAACGGCTGGTTTGGAAAGGTGAGACGATCACGTCGCATATTCAGATATCACATCTGTGTTCACGTTAAATTTAAAGCACATCACAGGTTTATTATTTGTTTTGCAGCGTGTTTCTACTTTCTTATATTTATTGCTGGTCACCGACCGGATCACGAGTCGTAACTCAGAGTTTATTTATTGCCAGTCTGCTTCGTCTCCTGGACGCTCCTCCATGTTTTTGTCCATTGATCTCCTGTAGGTGATCCTGGCTGAGGTGCTGTGCGACTGCAGCTCCTCTCAGGCGGTGGTGAAGGAGTTACGTGTGAGCGCCAGCCCCCTCGAGCAGAGGAAGTTCCTGGCTGAATCGGAGCCGTACAGGTGAGCCGTACATAACGACGCTCTGAGTCAAGACACCAAAGTCCATGCTCAATAATCCAGGTGTAAAATCCAACATTGTTCAGTCAGGTCATCTGGACAGTTTCTGTTTTTGTGCTGAGACGTTTCGCCCTCCATCCGGAAGGCTTCATCAGCACAAAAAAATAAACCGTCCAGATGACTTGACTGAACATTGTTGGATTTTATACCTGGATTATTGAGCATGGACTTTGATGTTTTGAATCAGTTTGACATGACTGTCGATGAGGGAGAGGGCGGGCACCGGAGGAGAGGGTGTGCCCCAGAGGCCATCTTAGCCCCAACATAACAGTTTTTTTCCACTTTGGAGTAAGCTGTTGGGGGAGAAGCAGTTTGGTTTGGTGTTTCCTCAGACTGATGAAGCCTTCTGGATGGAGGGCGAAACGTCTCAGCACAAAAAACAAAAAACATCCAGATGAGCTGACTGAACATTGTTGGGCTCTGATTCAAGGTTTGCAGACGGCACTCCGTATTTAAATAGTTTACTGGTGTGCAAAAAGGTCAGTGAGGACATTTTATTTAAATATATGAAGGTCTAAGGTATAAAAGCAAAGCAAATTATAGCATTCTTCTTTAAATTTTAATCATAATGTGTTTTATTTATCCTTCAAACTGGCGCATCATCGCTTCACTTGCTTGATAAAATCAACCTCCAAGAAGTGGTCAGATTTACACCTGTCTGCTGACAGAGCAGCAAGCTGATTATTCGTATTCCTCTGGGTTTATGCTAATAAAACTCGTTTAAAGCCAAGTATTTACTGGCCGTCACATCTGAGCAGCATTTTGGCCGTCCTTGTCACTCTTTAAAGAACACCCAACACTCTCGTCCAGGATACATCCAAGGCCACGGCTGCCTGTTCTCCATCACTGGAAGGAACAGCATCTTCAACAATTACAGTTCTGTGCCAAAGTCTTTATTCTTTATAGTTTGCTTCCAAGAAGCCAGATTGTCTTGTGATCCTTTAAATCAGGGTTATTCAACTGGCGGCCCAGGGGCCAAATCAAGCCCACGGGTGTGCTCAGTTCGGCCCACCAGTGGGTTCATTTTTAAATAAAACCAGATTTTAAATCATAAAAAAATTACTTAAAGAGAATAAATGCCAGGTGTTTGGCCCCTGAGCCCTTGGTTTGCAGTAACTGTGCACCCCCTGAGCAATTCAGGTGAATAGCCCTGCTTTTAAATTGATCTTGAAAAACAGATTTTCTGCAGATCTTTCAAAGTTTTTCTTTGAACTTTGGCTGCTTTTACTTTTTTTCTGTTCAGTACCTGATCTTTTTCAAAAATGTTTTGTTTGTTTTGTTGTGATGTCTGAACCATAAATCATTCAGCCATTTAAAAAAATACTCCTAAACTCAAGGGATGAGCCAGTGTTGTGTCAATACATAAAGATAACTTAGAAAATAATTTATTTGAAAATGATGAAAAAGCAACCAAAGCTCCTCAAAAACCGCTTTGGCAAGCAGTTATATCATATAATCAGCACTTTGAAAATATGGCAGGCCATTTCTTTATCCGTTCAATATCCCTGATATCAAACATCTTTTTCTCACTCAAACGCTGCTTGAGAAGCTACCTGTGAATGTTTTACATTTAATTTAGTATTTTCAGATTAGGGAGATGCACTTCTCTGTTGTCCTTTTTTTTTTGCATCAAGGTAAAGTAAAACATAATTAGGAAGATTAAGTTCAGACTGGATGAAAAAGACTTTTTAATTTTTATTTACAGTTTTTATAGTAACATTACCAGTTGACAAATTCTACATTGCTGTATTACCATAAAACCTCGCTATTAGCAAAAGTTTGTTTTTCTGTGTCTGCTCCTGGGAAAGTTAATATCTGCTAAAATAACAATAAAAGCAAACTATTTTTTTTTTTAGTTTGGCTTTGTTTGTGTTTCCTGTTGTACTGAACCCAGACCAACAAACTTAGGGGCACCGTTACCCGCCTACTGTCTGTCGTTCTGACTTGTGGTGTTCGGTTGTTCTTCCAGGAGCTTGAAACATCCCAACATCCTTCAGTGTTTGGGGCAGTGCAGTGAAACCATCCCGTTTCTCCTCGTCATGGAGTTTTGTCAACTGGTGAGTACAAAAACAAACATATTTATAAAAAAGTTATGTACGATTTTTGTGTAATTTCATTAGCTGTCATACCGAATCACGCTCTTAAGCCTCCCTGGTAAGGTCTATTCGGGGGTTCTGGAGAGGAGGGTCCATCGGATAGTCGAACCTCGGATTCAGGAGGAACAGTGCGGTTTTCGTCCTGGCCGTGGAACACTGGACCAGCTCTACACTCTCAGCAGGGTCCTGGAGGGTGCGTGGGAGTTTGCCCAACCAGTCTACAAAGTCCATGTGCTTTGTGGACTTGGAGAAGGCGTTTGACCGCGTCCCTCGGGGGGCCCTGTGGGGGGTACTCTGGGAGTATGGGGTACCGGGCCCTTTGATATGGGCTGTTAGGTCCCTGTATGACCGGTGTCAGAGCCTGGTCCGCATCGCCGGCAGTAAGTCGGGCTTGTTCCCGGTAAGAGTTGGACTCCGCCAAGGTTGCCCTTTGTCACCGATTCTGTTCATAACTTTTATGGACAGAATTTCTAGGCGCAGCCAAGGTGTTGAGGGGATCCGTTTTGGTGGCCTTAGGATTGCGTCTCTGCTTTTTGCAAATGATGTGGTCTTATTGGCTTCATCAGATCGTGATCTACAGCTTTCGCTGGAGCGGTTCGCAGCCGAATGCGACGCGGCCGGGATGAAGATCAGTTCCTCCAAATCCGAGGCCATGGTCTTGAGCCGGAAAAGGGTAGAGTGCCCTCTCCGGGTCAGGGAGGAGGTCCTACCCCAAGTGGAGGAGTTCAAGTATCTTGGGTTCTTGTTCACGAATGAGGGAAAAATGGAGCGTGAGATCGATAGGCGGACAGGTGCAGCGTCTGCAGTGAAGCGGGCGCTGTACAGGTCTGTCGTGGTGAAGAGAGAGCTGAGTCAAAAGGCGAAGCTCTCAATTTACCGATCGATCTACGTTCCCACCCTCATCTATGGTCACGAGCTTTGGGTTGTGACCGAAAGAATGAGATCTCGGATACAAGCGGCCGAAATGAGTTTTCTCTGCAGGGTGTCTGGGCTCTCCCTTAGAGACAGGGTGAGAAGCTCGATCATCCGGGAGAGACTCAGAGTAGAGTCGCTGCTTCTCCATGTCGAGAGGAGCCAGTTGAGGTGGCTTGGGCATCTGTTTAGGATGCCTTCTGGACGCCTCCCTGGTGAGGTGTTCCGGACACGTCCCACCGGAAGGAGGCCCAGAGGAAGACCCAGGACACGCTGGAGGGACTATGTTTCTCGGCTGGCCTGGGAACGCCTCGGGATTCCCCGGGAAGAGCTGGCCCAAGTGGCTGGGGAGAGGGAAGTCTGGGCCTCCCTACTTAGGCTGCTACCCCCGCGACCCGACCCCGGATAAGCGGAAGAAAATGGATGGATGGATGGACCTTTTTTTTTTTTTTACAATCTCCATTAAATTAGACGCCTCTTAGTTCAGAGAAGCTTTGATATCAGATTGAAATAACGTTCAGTCGCATCAGTGCTCCGTCCTTTAAAAGGAGGAATGAAAAGGGTTCTGAAAATAACATTAACTGAAAGAAAGTACTAAAATGTGCTTGTTGTCCGAGTGTTGCATGTATAAAAAATTCACACTAATTTAAAATCTGTAATAAAAGATCATAAAAATTCTGGTCTCTTGGGCAGGCCGTGATTACTTGGAAGAGTTGCATGAATATTTAGCCTGCGGGTGAAATGGTTCAATGTGCGGCAATTAATTCTGAAAACAGAGCCGAAACTACAACTGATGTTTCATTCTTCACCTTTCCAAAAGACAAAAGACTTTGACTGATTAGGCTACTTCAGCTGAAAACCACAATCCAGTGTCAGGTGACCAACTGTGCAGTAAACACGAAAGAGAGCACCTGAAAAAATGTTTTACTTCCATCTTGAAGACAGACAGAAAGGCGGTCGACAGAGATTGAGACCAAGGTGAAGTTAATTTTAGGTGTGACATTGGATATTTCTCACTCCTCAGACGTGCTTCATCCCGTTTGACCCGATGCTGCTACCTTCTATGAGCCCCCTCCCCCGAAACAGTGGTTTGCTTAGTAAAAAGGTGAAAACAACCGTCTTCAAATCACCGACCAAAGGCACTTGAGAAACAAAAATGAAATAAAAACAAGATAGATCAATTTTCTCTGATAATGCAACCGTAACCACATTAATTGCCGTACAGCGTTCTATCCCGACTGGCCGTGGCACAAGTGACATCATCACCCAAGGAGGTAACTTCTACCCACTTTGAGATTTTGACTCAAAAAACAAGTCTTTAAAGTTAAACTTCATATGCAGTGGTTGTGTTATATGGAACAAATCATTATTTTAATATTTCATTTCACGGAGACTTTGAGGAAGACTCTGCACCGTCATCATCACTGTAGAGGTTTTTGTTTATTTGTTTTGCCCATCAGTGACTGATGAGTAAACGTATGAGTGGACTCAGGCTGAACAGACACATACAGATCGATTACAGCTGAGAGCGGCCAAACAACACTGGAGTCCCCTCAGACTGCCTGTCTGAAAATAATCTCCCTTTGTCCCTTTCCTCACATATAGAAGGGGCAGCTGTGGCTGAGTGGTTAGCAGTCGTCCTCCAATGCGACAGTTGTGGGTTCGAATCCACCAGCAGTCACATGCCGAAGTGTCCCTGGGCAAGACACTGAACCCCTCATAGCCTCCGATGTGTGTCCCATTGGTGTTTGAATGTGATAAAGCGCTGATTAGTCTCTTTAGAATGATTTGTTCAATTAGCTTTGTATAGATCTAGTAGAGTGCTGTATGAATGGGTAAATGAGGCACAGATTGTGAAGCGCTTTGAGTGTCTTGAAATAAGATAGAAAGGCGCTATATAAGTACAGTCCATTTACTCTGTCCTTGTCTGTCGTTGTATTTCTGTGTCTTCCTCTTCTGCTTTTTCTGTTTATTTACATTTCTGCTGGTGTCATTCTGTCCTTGTGTTTTTGAATCTGTATTCTCTGCCAGTTTCCACCTGTTCCTCAGTCTGCCTCTCCAGTCTTTATCGTTCACACCTGTCCCTCATCAGCTACCTGCCCAGGTGCTCTCATTACTCACTCTCCCTCTGCCTTATAAAAAGCTCTTCTCTCCTCCACTCTCCGTCTGGTCATTGTTCTGTTATGGACAGACGACCCAGTCCTCCTCTGTTCCTGTTCTGTCCGATTATTCCATCTGAACCTGTACCTGTACCTGTACCTGTCCTGTTTAGCCTGCCTGATCCCGTTTTGTAAGTTTTTGCTTCCTCGTCAGTCGTTTTTGTTTTGTTGTTTAAAATAATTCATTTTTATTTTCAACTCCTACCTCGCTCGTCTGCCTGCCAATTGGTCTAAAAACCGAGGATTGTGTCATACCGCCCTTTATATCAGTGAGTTTTTTTAATGGAATGGTCAAAGTCCGATATTGAAACTTATCGCTAATATTGGCCGATACCAATACCATGCTGATAATATCGTACATCCCTACTAAAAAGCTAATTATAAATTCCCCAGCTGTTTTGATGCTCTTTGGTGGGAAAAAAAAACTAAAAAAGGGAGGCATTTACTGCAGAAGTCATAAATATATATTTTGCCTGTAGAATGGTGCTGCAAGATTTAGCTTTGCTTTACAATGAAAGCACAAAAAACAGACATTTTGACGGCCAGTCTGGGGTTGATTCACCCTTTATTTAAACATAGAGAGCAATAACTGCTTTATTGCGTGGGATGTACAACTCAGGGTGACCTGAAGAGGTATCTTCGAGCCCAGCGAAAGTCAGATGGGATGACCCCAGACCTGCCAACCAGGGACCTGTTGACTCTTCAGAGAATGGCCTTCGAGATCGCCTCGGGTCTGCTGCACCTTCATGAAAACAACTACATCCACAGGTCGGTTATGAGTTTCACTTCATCGGTTTTCAGTAAGATCATTAAACACAACTCGTACATTTCGACCAGACTAAATAATGTGTGGATTTTTCCCCCTCAGTGACTTGGCTTTAAGAAACTGCTTGCTGACGTCAGACCTCACTGTCAGGATAGGTGACTACGGTCTCTCACACAATCACTATAAGGTGCCTGAGCCTGTACTCCTCCAAATATAAACCTAAACGGAAAGTCTGCTTGTTGTCCTTTACATTTTATTTTATGTTTCTCTGCAGGAGGATTATTACCTGACTTCTGACAAGCTGTGGATCCCTCTGCGATGGATTGCTCCTGAGCTCCTGGAGGAGTACCGAGGGTCTCTCATTGTTACTGACCAAACAAAGACCAGCAACGTGTGGTAGGTTTCAACGCTGCAGAAACACTAATCCAAGCCTAAGGTGACAAAGTCATGAAGAAAACATTAATTTGGTGAAGTATTTTTTTTTTGGGGGGGGGGGGGGGGGGGGTTGGTTTCCAGTGTGCTCTTGCTCAAATGACTTCAGCAGTGATCGGTTTTAATGCTTTCACTGAGAAACTTGAACTGAGCACGACTTCATGATCTTTCTTTAGAGTTGTTGCAGTAAACTGGAAACCTTTTAGGAAGACCTTTAACTGTTTTATGCAGAATATAGTCATAACTTTTCCCCTTGAGGGCAGGTTGTCTTCTGCTGTTTGCAACTATGAAATCGTGTGTGTCTTCGTCTGTCTGTTAGCAAAATATCTCATAAACTGCTAAAAAAAAAAAGTTAATTGAAACTCTCAGAAAGCAACCGTTTGACGTACATCTACAACAAGCTTAACTTTTGATCAGTCTGGTTCAAGATGGCCACCACAGCTAGCCTACTTTGGCAAACACAAAAATGGCTACAACGTTGTCAGTTTTACGAGCTCGAATTTGGTGTGAAAGCAGCTGAGAGTCATCCCAAACACGTACTCTGAGGGCTCACTGTCCACGCGGGATTTTGGTTTACAACTTTGACATGCAATGTGCAGATTGTTTTACTTCAAAAAATGCTTTGTTAATTAAAAAAAAACAACAACTCATTTTCTCTTGTGTTAAACTTAAAACGCTCATACCTATCACAATTAAACTTATGGCTGACGTGTGCCTGCATGCAGTTTGTCTAGATCTCAGCTTTTAAAAGAATATCTCTTTTCATATGTCAATTTTATGTTATTAGTTATAATGATTTACAAATTATGTAGTCTATTTAAAAATAATTTGTAAAGAAACTCATGTTTTTGGACAAATGTTTGTGAAAAAACTGCTTTTTTTAAAATTATGTCTCATTTATACGACAGGCTTTGTTTGTGATTTTTGTTCAAAGTGTTACATAGTTTGAAAGACTGTTAATATTGTTCTATTATTTCTTGTTTGATTCTACAGGTCACTGGGGGTGGTGATATGGGAGCTGTTTGAGTTTGGTGCTCAGCCCCACAAACACCTGAGTGATGAAGAGGTGCTGACCTTCGTCATCAGGGAGCGACAGATCACGCTGGCCCAGCCCAGACTTAAACTCTCTCATGCAGATTACTGGTTTGTATCTTTTCACTTGTTGTATCTTTTTAACATTAATTAATATAAATCTATTTTATCTGACTTACATGTGTTTTATTTTATCAGGTATGAGATCATGCAGTCCTGCTGGCTTCCTCCATCACAACGACCCTCCGTACCCGAAATATTTCTCCTCCTGTCCTCCCTCCTGGCTGCTGAGTGGGGACTGGCGAGAAGGAGTGTTGGGGAAGAGGATGAAGAAGATGAGGAGCATGTAGAGGGCAGAGGACGAAGAGGGGAGAGCGAGGAATCATTTGAAAGACGCTGGAATCTGCTCCGTCCCCCTGCCTTTCAGGCTGCAGCAAACGAGCGGCACCGGAACAGAGAGCTTGGCAGGGAAGGTAGAGACAACTCCTACCCCCTGTTGGACCCTGTGGGGAACTGCACCACCCTGTCCTCATCTGAACTGGATGACATCCTGACCGTTACGGAAACGAGCAAAGGCTTGAACTTTGAGTACTTCTGGGAGAAGGCTCACGCCAGACGAGGCTACAAACCTCTTCCTCCTCCTCAGCAAATCCCAACAGTGAACAATAGCCACAGACAGAATTTAGACACCCCCACTGTGGTGCCAGTGATCAGTGCACGCAGCCCATCACTTGCCAGCGAGTACTACATCAGACTAGAGGAGCACACGCCCCAAGACAACTCGCCGACACTTAAAGGAAAGGTACAGTCGTCTTTACGTTCTGATTCCATTTGCTCAGGAGACGTGGAGCTTGTAGAGATTCGCAGTGGAATGCTGGGAAAAGAGCGAGTCCCTTATTGTTCTTCTGAGAAGAGTGAAAAGACACTCTACAAGGTCCGCTCCAGCGAGGTGCAGCTCCAGGTGCCAAAGACAGGCGTGGCAGAATTCAGAGACACTTTGAGTCGAGTGACGGACTTCTCCGTGGTGGATTTAGGGGATGATGACGAAGCGGAGAATAAAACGAGCAGCGGAGCAGATAAAAAATGCCCCACAACATTTCAAGCTCCACTCCTCCCTCCCAAGCCTCGCTCCATGTCCATGTCTTCGTCCAACCACCTTCACTCCCGTCCTCTCCCCGCCCCTCCGCTCGGCTACAGAGGGCTGCCTCACTACACTGTTGGAGGAAAAATTGAGACAGACCCCCATCACACAGGCTCCTGCCCACCTTCTACCCTTGATCACCTCGGTTTCCATCGCTCTCGACAGGCTCTGCCACCCTCCCCCTCCCTCTCCCCCTCCATTCCCCCATCAAACCATCCGATTTACCCTCAAATGTGCCCTCCTCCTCTCCCCCCTCACTCCAAACCTCAGCGATGTGTACCAATCTACAACACAGACCCGAGATACACTAAGCCACAGATGCAGAGATTCAGCAGAGACCCACTATCCTGTGACATGTCTGAGAATGACAGCAGGCATGCAGCGCCATTGCACCCCTCCAAGGATGCCTCATACACTCGGGCAAAAGACTTTGACTCTCCCATTCGTAGACAAAACCCTTTGCGCCCTATTTATCAAAACCCACCTCGCCCTCAGCCATCGAACACCCAGATGGACAGGCAGTCTTCTTCAAGTCCCACATACTCAGACGAGGATGACTCCCCTTTCATGTCCCCTGAAAGACCCTGTAGCGGGATGACTGTCACTCACTCCAGCCTATCTGAAGACGCAGACCCAGGCACCGCAGAACTCTTCTCCAGGGGAATGAAAAGGACCCAGTCCCGCCTCGACACTATTCTACCGGCCATTTGGAGAGAAGACGCTGAGCTTCACACAGAGCATGTTGTTGCAGCCAAGAAGTCTCCGATGCATCTGTTCCTGACAGAGATATCAAGTGTGACAGAGTCCAGTGAGGCCAAACCAGAGGAGGAGGTGGAGAAAAAAGATGGAGAGAGATGGGGGAACGTTACGCTGCCCAGCAAAGGGATGCGCCGCTCCCAGTCGCTAATCACTGAGCTCAGTTCGGCAGGACAGTCGTGGGGACATGAGGTGCATGTCAGCAGGACAGGAGTTGAGGAGGACAGTGTAGTAACAGATGAATCATTCCAGAAGGATCTTTTCCTCACAGAGGTTGACACAGAAAGAATAGACATAGACATAAACGAAGGATCAGAAAGCGATTCAGTAAAATACCTCTACCCGGCAGGATCCAGGTTGCGACCCTACGTCTGCATTCCAGGCAGAGAGCCTGAGGAAACCAGCACAAAAGGAATACGGAGATCCCGATCTCTCCTGACGGAAATCACTGTTGAGAAGCAGGAATCTGAAATGCAGAAGTCACCTAGACCTGAAATGACCAGGGAAGAGTTCCTAAAAGAAATCCAATCAGCGGAAACCTTTTTGACTGAAATCATGTCGAGGCAAACCGCCGCCACAAACAGAACGGAACCAGATCCGTCCAACTCCCCAACTCCCCTGTCCCCTGAATACGAGTCCCTGTGCTTTGACCCAGTCTCCACTCAGACCATCAGGTTTCAGACAGAGAGCTCCATACGAGCATCTAACAAAGGCAAAGATGATACACAAACTGAGGCCATTTACGCCCAAGTGACCAAACGAGCTAAAAAAAGTGAGATAAAAGTTTCCATCAGACCCAAGATCCCCAAACTCCACATAGGATCGAATAACCAGCCTCTGATACTGGACAGCCAAGAAAACAATGCTGATCACTGCCAATCCGATGAGTTTGTGTTTTCAGAAATCATGCCCAAAAATGGTTTATTACACAATCAAACACTTAAGTGTGAGAAAGAAGAGGAGGAGTGTTCAGACGGACCTGCCTTACCTGCCAGAGGAGCTCTAACAGATCTGTCTCCTTCTGAATCCACCAAGAGTGGAGTAAAGTCCAACACTGTGATACAACACGAGAACAAACCTGTCATTATGAATCAATCTTCTGCTGTGATAGAGAATGGTGGAACAATAAAAGATAACCTGCAGGCGTGTGGACCTGAGGCAGGAGCTCAAACTGAGGGAAAGTCTGATGGTGTGCAGGATAACACCTCTGATAAAACGGCTGATTTGGAGAGTATGGACTTTTGTAATAATAAAATCTTTGCAGATACAGATGGAGAAAATTATGCTAATCAAATAATATATAATCATATCACCCAAAAAGAACCCGTTCCTTCGGTCAGTCCAAGCACTCCCGAGTGGAATCCGTCCTCAGATGTCTCGCTCATCACCCCCACTGACTCGGTCCTGTCGCCTCTGACTTCCAGCTCAGCAGACGGCCTCACCCCCAGTGACTCGTGGACAGGGGGGGGAGGCAGCGGGTGGCGGGCTCTGGGAAATGAAACGCCTCATCGAGACTCAGCCTATTTCTCAGACAGCGACTGGGAGGGCGACGGGACGAGCAAGAGGAGCAGCGGTGACGGGCTCGCCTCCAGGCCGAGTGGCAGCCGAGGGGGCGAGCGAGGGATACTGACAGAGATAGAGGAGAACACCGAAGAGGAGGGCGAGGCGAGTGAAAAAAATGTGTTACAGACTAGTTTACACACTTCATGTATTGAAACAAGAACTGGAGAAGAAACTATTGAGGTTTGTGAAAACGTGGACACAAATGACAGAGCTCTTTCAGGCCATGAGAAAGATAATCTGAACAAAGGGCTGAAGTCCACACAGAGAGACGATTCTGGCATTTTTCACAACGAGAGTAATAAATCAGCACTGCCGTGTGATGATCTTGAGGTCGAGGACTGCGTTGACTTTATTGATAAGTTGTTTTCCAAATTAGATGATGAACCTCTGAAAGCTCTTTCACACAGTGGGGGGTTTGTGGTAGACAGTCACTACACAGCGGGCATCGTTTCTAAAATAACAGACTACAAATACTCCGACAAGAGCAACTTAAACCTGCGTTTTCAGAGCCCCACAGAGACGAGTGATTTAACCATGTCAAAAGCTGAAACGAGTGCTCCAGTGACGGAAAATGATCTAACTGCGCAAAAATCCCTGAAATCTGGAAACAAAACCGAGTCCAGATTATCTGAACTATGGGATGTTCAAAGCAGTGAGGGCACATTGAGAGGTGAAACTCAGCCAAAAGGTGAAGTGGAGCTTTTTGACAATAAAGTCTGCCTGAGCGTTGAAGAGAGGGTTAGTTTGGACCCAAACGAGCTGGGCCTGAGGAACCTTCTCTGCTCAGACCAGAAGGAGGATACGGAGGTCCTGGGAGAGATGGAGACAAATCAAAAAGGCCTGAATGAAAAACCTCCTGCGAGCAGAGAAACGAGTATGAACGACCCTAATCAAAACATGAGTAACAACTCTTGTGAGCAGCTGGATGTGATGTCTGAGGACTGGTGGAACGCTCTGGAGGAGGATGAGGAAACATCAGGATCTGGGGTTGTTAGGGGGGAACTTGTCTGCTTGGCTCAGCCGGGGGACTTACACTCATGGCCTGACCAAAATAACCAGTGGGCTTCTCCTGAGAAGAGGTGCCAAGAAGAACTGAGATCTGAGTTTTATTCCAGAAACACGGAGTGGCAGGTGAGGGAGAGGTTGGTTGTAGGTGAAGAGAGCTGGGAGACAAAAGAAAACGATGAGCTGGCAGGAAGTGAGCCTCACCCTGCAGTGTTGGAGGAGACCTGGACCAATGAGATACTAAGTGACAATCTTACTGTGAGGGATACATGGAGCTCCAACGGTTCAGCTAACCATCAGACAGCAGCAGACATACAGCAGGAGGAAAACATAGAGAATTTGGAAGAGATTGAGAATTTCAAGAGGAATGAAAAAAAAATGCTCTCGCATATTGAAGTAGAGAACGTAGAAACCCCAGAAGATGAGTCCTTGGTGAAAGGAGAGGATCAGGTTTCGTCATGCATGGAGGGAGACATGGAGGAGAATCAAAACTTTAACAGATGGCCTGAGAATCATCTCTGCAGCACCCGCAGAGAGGACCAGACATCAGCTTTACATGGCTTCAGCCACGCTTCACCGAACAAAAGCTCAGATGCACCCATCAGCATCACTGAAGCCTCTCACGTGAACTGCTCAGACCAGGTGAACGATGAATCGGGCTTCACATCAGAAGCTGAGGTCAGACAGTTGGCTCAGCAGTGCACAGAAGAAGGAGTGCAAAGAGTGGAGGAGGAATACAGAGAAATGCCGTTCCGTCCCAGTACCTTCGAAGCACTGAAGGACTCGGAGCCGTCAGATCCAGAGGTGGACAATTTCAGCTCTGTAGACTTTCCAAGTCCTCCACGGAGCATAGACCTGGATGTACAAGACGATAAACTGGAAAGTTTAGATGACTCTTTTCCCAGTCCGCCTCCTTCTGTTATAGAGGCAGAAGACTTTATTACTCACATTAATCTAGAAGACTTTAACACCAGCACCGAGACAGAGTCGTATAATTCACCACCTTACAACACAGACGTCTCAGAGCAGTCTCTGCAAGAGTTACCGCCCGCTGCAACTCAGAATAAAGGGATCTCAGCCGATCTGAACCTCACTTCTGTGCACATAACACTCACTGATGACAACAACTTCACATCATACATAGAAGGTCAACATCACCAGGATAACTTTTCAGAGAAAACTTCCTATGCAGTTCCTTCCATGCCCCAAAATGCACAGAAAAACATACCAGAGTTGTTGATTTCAGAGTGGAAAGATCTGGATGAGGAGCCGCTGGAGGATTTTGAGAAACTGGAACAGCTCTGCTACATCTCTGGGGACGAGGAGGAAACTTTGGGGGAGCTTTTCTTGGGGAACCTTGAGCTCCTGGAATCTCTGAAGAAAGCGCCTGATCAGAAGGGCAGCTGCACAGGTGAAACTGAAGCAGGCGACGAGATCCGCAGCTCCTCGTCACCTGAGGGAAGCGAGGTGGATTTAAAAACCGAAGAGATCCATAACAAATCAAATGAGAGAATGGGAGAATCTAATAAAATAACAATCATGGATTCCCAAGGCAATCTGTCGTCACAAACAGAGAGGAATGATGAGCAGAGGTCACCTGAATTTAAAGATCAGGGGTGTCTCTCCAAGATGACGACCAAAAATGGCCTCATGATGCAGGTGAGCGCTCGTGATTCGCTGCAAGCATAGAACCGCTTCCCATGTGACCCGTAGATTAACTGGTTTCACTTTGGTGCTTCAGGTGTGCGAGGAGAGGCTGCAGTTCTCCCTTAGTGAAAACGTGAAAACAAACATTCTTTGGGGGGGTGACGTGAAGGAGACAGTTACGCTCCGGCCCTGGGGGGACCAAGTCACAGAAAGCAGCTGTGAGCTGAAAGAGCAAGCAGAAGATGAGAGGTACTGAGGCTGAATAATCAGCCATAAAGCTTCATATAACGTAGGCCCAGGAGGTTTGAACTTGTAGGTGTTGCAGCACCAAAAGTTTGAATTGAATCATGACATGACTTCATCTTCTTAGACATCTGTAGTAAAGTTCCATTTCAACCCTTCATTTAAAGAATATTTCTTTGGTGGCGTATATTGAGTCCAAATTTTAACAGAGTTTCAGCGTTTTCATTCACACGTTAGAATGATAAACTCCTCGTGAGGTGAAGGCAGAGCTGCCGAGGGTGTTCTTCTTGGAAATCCTGGCAGATATTTTGAAGAATTTATCTCTTTTAAATAATCACACTGATGCCGAACATCATGTTAGCAGAGACGTCCTCGTGTTTTTCCACTGTGACACTTTCACACCTCAGTCTGAATCACCAACGTGAATAAGTAAACCTGACAATTAGGTGCTCAGATCAAGCTGTGTTCTATTATTTCCCTCTCTATGGAAAGTGGCTGAATTCCTTCACAGTGTAAATTACAAGTTTTGATAAGGATGCAAATGTTCACTTTTTTTTTGGCTTTTTTCAATCCACCTGAAATACAACCTGGTCATTTTCACCATCAGAACTCGTTAATAGAAAAACTAATTAATCCTTTTGTTTACTATTGTGTTTGTGAAGGATTCTGTGGCGTTTTTAACAGCAGTCGGTATCTTACCTGCAGCAGAAATGGCTCAAGGCATTATCAGCAGGTAGACGTTTCAGAGAAGACAAGCTAATGGCTAGTCAGAATGGGATCGGATCCCCAGCTCCATTGTAACGTAAATGTCATAGCAGTTTGTTTAATGCTGGTTTTTACAGTGATACTTCTACTTTCGATGGTCACTCCACCATTTAAACACGTTTCATGTTGCAACATATTTCATAAGGATTGTTTACAAACTGGTCATCAGTGCTAATAATCATAGCTGCATGTGTATGTAGCCATGTAAGGCGCTATAAGGGTTAAAAAATATAATTTTTATGAACGCTATGCGATTTTAAAGATTTGAGTCATTTTCAATCCACAAAAATCTGCTTCAGTGTTGGACCAGTTTGTCTCCTCTCATAACTTATGCCCAGATTCTCCAAACTGAGCCAACTCAAACTGCTGTCTACAGCAGGTAAGATAACAACTACTGTTAACTCCAAATATCCCCACTTTAAGAAATACCAACTATCTCTTTAGTGTGATATAACCAGACATCACTGCAGACATGAACAGCTCATTTTGGTGGACAGAGCCAAATACAACCAGAGCTACCTGCAAGAAGTGCTTGAAGCAACAAGGAGCACGTTATGCGATCTCATCATAAACTTGATTCTTTAACATTTATGTGTTACTATGTTTTTTCTGTATTTCAGCCAAGAGGAGCAGGAGGCTGCCCCAAGCTGTCAGCCACTCACAGAGTTTGATCAAACTAAACCTGAGCCGCTCACTGTGATCGAACAACCTGAGGACACGGCATCTCAGCCTGCAGCTAACCAGGCGATGAAAGGTATAGTCATGCTGAAGATCATAAATCACAACCAAATATTTTCCTTCTGTCAATTTCTTTCCATGAAGCATTTTGACTTTGCTTTATTTTCTTCTTCTATTTGATTCACATCTTACAATTAAAACCAAAATGTCGTTCTCAAACCCAACAATCTCTTAGCAGAACGTGCCATTCAGACTCTGCAGGAACCCACTTCTAACAATCTGCATCCTCACACAAATGACTATATGTATCTGCCTTTTCTCTCCATGCTTCTATCACACAGTGATCTTGGTATTCTGCAATTAGCTAACCTGAAATCACACACAGCTCGTCTTTATCCCTGGTTTTCTTACAATGAGTATTTTTACAAACCGGATTCCAAAAAAGTTGGGACACTAAACAAATTGTGAATAAAAACTGAATGCAGTGATGTGGAGGTGCCAACATCTAATATTTTATTCAGAATAGAACACAAATCACAGATCAAAAGTTTAAACTGAGAGAATGTTTCATTTTAAGGAAAAAATCTGTTGTTTCCAAATTTCATGGCGTCAACAAATCCCAAAAAAGTTGGGACAAGTCCATTTTTACCACTGTGTGGCATCCCCCCCTTCTTCTTACAACACTCAACAGACGTCTGGGGACAGAGGAGACCAGTTTCTCAAGTTTAGAAATAGGAATGCTCTCCCATTCATGTCTAATACAGGCCTCTAACTGTTCAATCGTCTTGGGCCTTCTTTGTCACACCTTCCTCTTTATGATGCGCCAAATGTTCTCTATAGGTGAAAGATCTGGACTGCAGGCTGGCCATTTCAGTACCCGGATCCTTCTCCTACGTAGCCATGATGTTGTGATTGCTGCAGAATGTGTTCTGGCATTATCGTGTTGAAAAATGCAGGGTCTTCCCTGAAAGAGATTACGTCTAGATGGGAGCATATGTTGTTCTAGAACCTGAACATAGTTCTCTGCATTAATGGTGCCTTTCCAGACATGCAAGCTGCTCACGCCACAAGCGCTCATGCAACCCCATACCATCAGTGATGCAGGCTTCTGAACGGAGTGTTGATAACAACTTGGGCTATCCTTGTCCTCTCTGGTCCGGATGACATGGCGTCCCAGTGTTCCATAAAGAACTTCAAATCGTGACTCATCTGACCACAGAACAGTCTTCCATTTTGCCACACTCCATTTTAAATGACCCCTGGCCCATTGCAAACGTCTGAGCTTGTGGAGCTTGCTTAGAAATGGCTTCCTCTTTGCACTGTAGAGTTTCAGCTGGCAACGGCGGATGGCACGGTGGATTGTGTTCACTGACAATGCTTTCTGGAAGTATTCCTGAGCCCATTCTGTTATTTCCTTGACAGTGGCTTTCCTGTTTGAGGTGCAGTGACATTTAAGGGCCCGGAGATCACGAGCATCCAGTAGAGTTTTACAGCCTTGACCCTTACGCACAGCGATTGTTCCAGATTCTCTGAATCTTTTGATGATGTTATGCACGGTTCATGATGATAACTTAAAAGTCTTTGCTATTTTACGCTGGGTAACACCATTCTGGTATTGCTGCACTATCTTTCTGCGCAACAATGGTGGAATTGGTGATCCTCTTACCATCTTGGCTTCTGAGAGACACTCTGAGAAGCTCTTTTTATACCCAATCATGTTGTCAATTGACCTAATTAGTGTTAATTGGTCTTCCAGCTGTTTGTTATATGCTCAATTTCCTTTTTCCAGCCACTTATTGCTACTTGTCCCAACTTTTTGAGGATTTGTTGACACTGTGAACTTTTGAATCAACATATTTTTCCTTTAAAATGTTACATTTACTAAGATTAAACTTTTGATCTGTCATCTATGTTATATTACGAATAAAATATTGACATTTGCCATCTCCACATCATTGCATTCAGTTTTTAGTCACAATTTGTTTAGTGTCCCAACTTTTTTGGAATCTGGTTTGTAAAAGCTAATTTGTTTTTAAACCCAAGCGTAAAGGTCACAGTCAAACATCTCATGGGATTAACTTCTCAAAATTTGTATTCATGAATCCTCAAGTTTCCATAAGGAAATTCTCATTCATCTTGATCTGCTTTAACAAAAAGTTTTTACACCATTCTAATGAATAGTCCTAACTTCTCAAGGTCAAGGTTCTTTATTGTCATTTGCATCGCATGTGGTACATGAGGTGGAACAAAATTGTGTACACAGGGTCCCAGTTACATCCAACAAAAGTCTAAATTGTAAAAGAAAAACGGTAATAAGACCTAAGATATGAACTAAGAGTATGCTAAACACTTAATACAAAAACAATACGCCAATAACTTCTGGTGCTTACTGTTCAGAAGTTCTGCCCAATAATTCAGTATTTATCCCCAACACATAAGAATTTTCCAAGCGACACTGTTATTAAATGTTGACATTGTACCTTTTATAGTCTACTAAATAAATTTAAAGTGCATTTCCCCCCAAAAAAATATTCTCATAAAGTTTGGTGGTAATATTTACATGCTAAGGTGGATTAGTGGAGCTAGATTTTAATATTTTAAAATTTGTATGACTTGCAATTAAGTTTTAAATGTCAAAAGTCTAATCTTTGCTTTAAAAAGTGTTTTAAAAAAGGACAAGATGTACATTATAAAGCAGATTCGAGTTCTCCTTCTACTATTAGCCTGTTTTTTGTTGTTTCTGAGTAATATCGCCACCTACTGACAACAAGCAGAACTGCTGGAGCTCAACTGGAGCTAATCGTATCATTTAAAAAAGTTACAATGCAAATTGTCTTTAAAATAAATTCAAAGTTTAATTTTGAGAGTAGCTGAAAAGTAGGACACTTATTGGTCTATGGTTCAAGCGATTACATCTACACTTACAACATTTTAAAATTTGTTTTAAAAATCAAATGGTGACGCCAATGTGTTAGTCAGTCTGTGAAGCAGCTAAATAACAACAAAAACAAAAACACACAAATGAAATCTAAACTTCCTGTTAGGCCATTATTATTATTGTTGTTGTTATTATTATTATTCACACAGCTTCTCACTTTTTTTTTAACAGCAAAACTGGCTCGTCTGTCTCTCGCCCTCCCTCCTCTTGCTTTGAATCTTCCCCTCACCCCGAGTAGCAAAGGGGTATTTGGGGACGGGGCCATCGGGAACCGTATCGGAAGACGAAGAGGTCTGTCATCAGGAAACGACCCAGACGAGGAGGAGGAGGACGAGCAGGAGGATGAAAGCTCCCAGAGGGTGATTGTTGTCACGGAGACTGACGTGGACAAACGCATCGGGCTGAGGAGTCTGCTGAAATCACCTAAAGAGCCGCTGGACAGAGAGCGGGACAGAGGGAGGAATGTGTCCTTCTTTGATGATGTCACGGTCTACCTTTTTGATCAGGTGCCCTGCTGGCTTAATAAATGACATATTGAAAAGTGTGTTTACATTAAAAACGACATAAAACTGTTGGACTGTTTACAACAGGAAACTCCAACCAACGAGTTGAGCTCGTCAGCTCCTACGAGTCCCTCAGCAGTGTCTGTGAAAAGCAGCAAGTTGGACCATCATGGTGAGCTCGTGAACAGCTTATGATTGTGGCACACACCTTTCACCTCCTAAACACATTCTCACAGACATAAACAGCTGTTCTATACTAATCCCAGACAGACTACAAAAGCAGCATATTCATACATCTCAGGATCCTTTTCTTTTTTTTTTCTCAAGGCGTGGTTAGCGCCATCCACACATGATTGAGATATTGACTCGTAGTTCTGGCGGACATCTTACCCTTGATCACAATCTCTAGTCTCAAATGTAGAAACAAACACCAGAAGTTCAAGACCCATTAACCAAGGAAGGCCTATGTCCATGTCCCACACTGGGCAATGGTTTCCCTCCTCCATGTCAGTTGACTAAGTACTACACATCTTGGTACCTTTATTGAAATTCCCAAAATTTTTCTGATAATCCCCAACTATAGACACATTTAAACACAATATTGCAAAGTTCCCAAAACTTTTTTCCTGACAGACCCCGACTATCCAAAGAAGTTCCATGAAATTATTTTAGATCCCAGATCTCCCCAAAATAATAAACAAAATCTTCTCACCCTACAGTCGTGGCTCTTCTCTGGTCAGACTACCATCACCCCCTCAACCCACCAGCAGACAGCAGCACGAACATGAGTCTGTGTGAGCAGATGAGCACACATGAACACATCAACATGAAACGGATCAGCAGCAACATTGAAACAGATCAGCAGCAACATGATGTGATTTTTTTTCACAGTGAATATCCTGGTTAGAGATTCATGAGTCTAACAGCCTCACGGTAGCAGCTGTTCCTCATTCTAGTGGTTCTACACTTATGCTCCTCAACCTCCTGCCTGAGGGGAACGAGTCAAAAAGTGTGTGTGCTGGGTGAGTGGGGTCCTTCATGATGCAGGTGGCCCACTTCCTTTATCTGGAGGTGTAGATGTCTGTGATGGTGGGGAGGCTGACTCCAACAGTCTTCTGTGCAGCCTTCACCACTCTCTGCAAAGCTTTTCTTTCTGCAGCTGAGCAGCCTCCATGCCACACATTGATGCTGGAGCACAGAATGCTCTCCACTGCACACCTGTAGAAGGAGGTGAGGACTGAGCTTCCCAGACCAGCTCGTCTCAGCCGCCTGAGGAAGTAGAGTCTCTGATGAGCTTTCTTGATCAGGCTGGTCCT